GTTGTATACCGTGTTCAACGTTATGAATTCACTCACTGTTGTACGGTCAATCGGCCTTTCGCACGTCATTTCATAGTTCAAATCTACGAGAGGTAAAATGATTTCGTCGAGTCGCGAATGGTTAAGTGGTAGTCAACCCCAATGAATCTGCAACTCCTATGCTATTGTTCTTCATTACATTTCGTGAATTTAATTTGTTTTCCAAAGATCTGACATTGAAAAATGTTGCAGAAGGATGAACACTGTGCGCTCGCAATTCAAAGCTGATAATGTGGTTATAATGAGGTGATAATCAATAGTATTCACCTCGTAAATACAAAGCGTTCAGGACTGACTGTCATGAATGCTGATATTCAGAGCTTCGTTAGAAATGCGCGTATGGTGCAGACAAACAGACACAGAGACGCTGTAAAACGAGTATGCTAATGAAACGTAACTCGCATTACAAAAATGAAGAGAAGGAATAGGGATACACTCGGTATTTACTTCACAAGGAAGACATCGATTTACCACTGAAGAAAAAACCCCTGGTTTACAGAGCGACATAGCAATGAACTTCTAACTTCCTGCTTCACTGACTGAATGAAAAAAACAGGTTGATTACAGATTACGTTTTACATTAACTGAATACCTCATTTGATGGCTAATTTACCACTTAGTACCTTCATTCTCATCCATATATCTAGATATTACACTGACCTATATCTACATATTAGACCCTTCCTGATTATACATGTATACATATTTGCTAATTAACTTACTTTTACAGTTACTTAGATGCTTCATTATCAATTAGTTATTGAGTGATATTCGTACTTTCCAATTTACATGTTTCCGTATTTGCATATAGGCTAAATTACTAAATTACTTAACTATATAAATGCATTCATAAATAACTACTTAAACTCATACATATACCATCCCTTGGCTTTTTGGAAGCTGAGGCATCTTTCTCTGCTTATCAGCCCATGCCATTATCACAACTGACGCCAAGTCGATTAAAATGTCAGGTTCATATAAAGAGAAGAAGTAAAGATTTCTCCTTCTTTCTGCTACTGCTACCGTGGAAGGTTACTTTAAATTCCTACTTATTTCATTATTTACTAACGCAGCTCACTAGCTCAATTACCCGTTTAGTTTGTTCCGACCAGGAAGCAATGTCATGATGTCGCTTGTCCAAAAGTAGCCTCATGAGCCCTAACCCCACTCATTTTTTTTTCAAACTTCCCTTACATCGTCAAAGTGTAGAGGTGGCCACAATCAACTTGTTCCATTGTCGTAATAACACGAATTATTTTTCATTTTTGAAGCAACCAAGTTCAACATTCTTACAGTTTATATAGAGCATATAGTCAGTTGTAGATATTCGCATTCTGGTTATTAATATTTCAATAAACCAGCAGTGCTACGTTTCAAAGCTTCTGCAATCAATCCAACGCTAGCTCACCCTCAAGCGCATACATCATTACCACAACAACTGCTGTATTGATATACGGTTATAGATTTTCTTCCCGTCGTTTCACAGTCGCTTGAGGTCGTGCCACACAGAGCATTACGTTGACTGATGTCTGAAAATGTTCACCGCATTTTCGTTTAGCAATACTTCTTCTCACGATCGTTTAGTCATTATTGCTCACTATGCTTCGAAACGGTCATGCCTCTGGTCTTACATTTTTTAATCTCTAAAGCAATCAGTTTCGACAGCGAACGCCGTTTAGTTGTTGCTATTTTAAGGAACGTTTAAAAGTGCGTTCAGAGTGCCGTGGCCGAAACAACAGGCGGCACAGAAGTTGGTTCGAACACTGGAGGAAGACGAGGAAATTTCAGAACATGAAGAAGAAGTATACGAACAACGACCAGAAGAGAACAGAGAAGAAGATGGGCAATCAGAAGTCGAGGAGGCAGAAGAGGAGGCCGGAGAAGAAGAGGAAACAAAACATTCTGAAGACGAATATGAAGACAGCGAGTGTGGTTCTGCAGAAATCGTTAAAGTACGGTTACCGGTCGACAGTTTGCCGTACCTCCAATCAAACGTCACTAGGTGACAGAAGAAACAAAGAACAAAGAGTGGATGCGCCGCGGACCACTCAGTCAGCAGCTACTCACCTTGTCCGTACCCATGACCGAGGCCAATTCCGGCGAAAGGACGCACTCCTGGCTGTAGACGGATTTTCCTGCAAGGTAAAGCAACACAAATGACGACGTCAACAACGCTCATTTCCGGTAACGCACCTTTTTTGGGGGCGGCGGGGGTGGACGCAGACCCATCTTCGCTTTTGCCGTTCTTCACGCGTTTGCCCTTTTTGTCCAACTACAAAATCAAACAAGTAGATAGTCAATCAGAAGGCGAAGTATAGCTGCTGCCAACCTTCCTCTGGCGCACCCGCAACTCCTCGTTGTGCAACTTGCGCGCCAACGCCTCGTCGTCTAACTGAACCTCAACACCGACGTTACACATGTTGCACATTACGGTACATTACAGCAATTGCCGTGCTTACGCCGGAAGAAACATCGCTGACGTCCGCCGCACGTTTCGCTGCGCCGCTTTTTTCCTGTCGCTTTCTTTTGCCAGAAGTAGTGTTCTGCAATAAAAGTTCCTGCTTCAGTAAGGAGTGTACCGAAAAAACTGGCTTTGAAACACTTTGTGTGTGTGGATGGGTGGGGGAGGGGGGGCGTGTACAACTGTAATATTGTTTACTAGTAAAATTTCGCAACTCCTCAAATCCGTCAACCATCGCTTAAGAATTCAGAGTTATAAATTTGTCCACAATTATTTAATACAGCGTTTGAAATATTGGTTATTGTCTTACAGCTTTAACTGCACTTGTAATAGTGACAGTTTATTGTTCTGGAATAAAACAGACATGCATACGATGATTTTGTGCTTTTTGTTACGAAAATATGTCATCAGACTGATATTACGAAAAAGATGGTTGGAAGCCTGAAAACAATATATTAAATGAGCAAGACTTTAGGAATCCACAACGTATTCCTTCTTCAGCATAAATTAATAGTACACAAGGAAGATATTTTTGTCATAAAGTTTAACTGGCATATAACAAAAGCAGTGAAAAGAAAATAATAAAATAAGCTAGGAAAAAGTAAAAAAATATGAAAAAAGGAAAATGCGTCATACAGTGTCTCCAACGTTCACAATAATATGCAAGCGTTTGATCCTCGATATATGAAGAATTTCTGGCTGGAGCTGAGTTCTTCCATACATCTGCCCCAGCTTATTCTCGGGCCACCCGGGGTCATGGGCAAGTCGGCTGGGCAAGTAATAGCTGTTTCGCTGAACTACTTTTGATCACGAATTAAATACGCATAAGAAAATTTTCTGTATTCAAAAAATAAGCAAACAAATAAATAATACGCTAAACAACAAAATACAAATATATAGGGCAACAATTTTATAAGTAAACATCGATACAAACGAAGCAAACGAACCTCAATTGGACCCGAGTCATCGGAGTCTGAAGAGGACGATTCGGAAGCGGACTTCGACTCGTTTTGAGCTGAAGAGGCGCCAGCGGTTTCCGTGTCGTTCTCGTTGATGATGCTCATCAAAATGTCATCGATTTCCTGTTTTCTACAATAGCGATCATTATTTTACAAACATAGCATTTCAAGTGACAACAAGCACCTGCTAGATAGGTCCAAACCGAACTTGCATTGCAGCTGAAGGCGCACCTGTTTCGAGGAGAGTGTTCGCAGGTCTGCATTTTTCAGTATGTCTAAATAAAAGTTTAAAGATTACTTTGTATTGTCTGAAGATCATGAAAAAATAAGTGCAAGAAGTAGGGCAAAGGGCGGTTTTGACCTAAGTGTAACTCATTTATTGTAAATAATAGCATAAAAGGGAGGAATTACGTCAAAGAGAATCGAGCAGCGGGTTTAACCAGAAATATTTAATCTAGGATTTAAAAAAATTGATTTCAAATATACCGAAAGAGCCTGCAATGGCCTTTCGTTAATAAAAATGCCACCGCGAAACGATCGGCGAAAACGCTGTTCCCCTGGAGGATAAAATAAGAGGGAAAGACGATTACAGGCAAAAGGTACTAGGACAATAACTGAAAAAATAGCTTAGAATCGATCAAAAAAATTATTCAATTATGGATTATGGACCACTGACAGATGCATATGAAGCCCAAAATTAAATGGCTTATCAATATTTTGTGGCAAATCGATCAACAAATCAAAGTGTGACTTTAACTTGAGATAAATCCGCTTTCACTGCCCGATGCGGGAACATTAGCTTCAAAAATCTGTCCACGGTTCAGGATCTCTGGTAATTAGGAAACTTTCACAGAATGAATCAGAATGAAGCAGTGCGAATTGTTCGATCATACGGATCTGACTTACCGTATGCCTTTACTTGGAAAGTGTTGGGTTTTCTTCAGTGACTTCAAAGATGTTGAAGCGCATAGGATTGTGATTGATAGTCTCTACACTACACTGGCTGACAGACAGAGATCAGATCTAATTCCGGCCATTGCTGTACCACGGATAGACTAAGGAAAATTATACATAAATGGCACGGTTTACTTTATCCAGATGGCTGGCCTCCGCGAGATGAGGCATCACTCACGGTAAGATATTGAAACTGAAAGAGCCTATTGAGAAAAACTCTGGGCTGGGCAAGTTGCCCACAGCCGCCACCAGGAACCCAAGTCAACTGGAGAGAACGACAAATGGACGTTCTGTCCCAGATATCTGGTAAACGAAAACAGTAGCTAAAACCGCTCTCCAAAATCGAACGAAATGTAGGGCAAAAAATAATTATGCCCCCTATCCAATCAGTTACGTGCAGTTTGAGTCGCACACTCGACGTCTACATCGCCCCATTAACGGATGACCGACAGAATTGAGCAGTGATGGACTGGTAAACAAGGAGCTACATTATATCTATTGGAAGACCTCGGATCAGACGACACACCGAATTAAACATGATACATGGAAGCTTGTCACGAGCTGGTACATCTATTGGGCAATGGCCCAATATTGTTTTTAGCAACAATCAATCTTCAAAATTCGATGGATTCTCCTTTTCGTTAAAATTTCATTATTCATTTAATGTATTGTGAGCTTTCAACACGTCGAGGTATTTGTATGACTGCCGTATTCCGAATTGTTCAATCGAAAGCGTCACTCCGTCGTTTTTCCAGATTGTTACCTTATTAATCTCGACCCTATTGCATTTACCCAAACCGAATCCCACTCTGATACCTTCCGAAAATATTCGTGTACTATGAGACAGACTATCGAGCTGTTAAATGCATACAACTTTAGGACGTTCATGTTCGACACAGGCAGTATTAGACTACCAACACTGAGTCCTTTAATGGTGTTATTCAGCAACTAACCCCGTGAGTAGATTCAGTGCTATACCAAATAGAAGCGATGAGATTGGAAGATTACTCGCTTAATCTTCAACCGTTCAGAGATCACAGCTTTCATGTGCCGGCAGGGCTTCCGTGTCTCAATACTCCTTGATGCCCGTCAGCGATACTTCTTTTGGTATGACCACCGATGACAGAGAGGCCTTAGGGGAGAGGCCAGGCTACGCGCAATCAACTATCTACTCATTACAGTGTATCATAATGATAAAATACATATATAATCCGTCTAGTTAGTATTGTAGTTTGAGACGTAACTAATAACTTATATCCGTATGAATCATTCAGTACAAAATAAATATAGTGCATTACACCAATTACACCCATATGCAGCAGATATTCAGCCCTTATTTTGATTTACACTCTGACATGAG